GGAGATTAATGGGCCAAAGGAGTAAGAGGCCAATTAAGAGATGATGGATGAGTCCGAAGAAGGAACGTGGAGCAGCTGCAGAAAAGAGATGGATGGACTCACAAACAGATAACAAATCCAGTCGCTCTGGTTCATTTGGGCCAGGACAGAATGGTAGTCATCTACTTTCCTAGCAAACATAAGAGACGGCAGTTCAATCTTTGCCTACATTCAGATAGAAGGCAAAAAAAGAAACCAAGAGCAAGCTGTTGGCTTCAAACAGTCTTAACCAGCCATTAGGCGATTTAATTTTGACTTGAATGTGCTAGGTGAAAAAGCGATTGGCAAAATTTATGGCTTAGCATGCGGGGTGAGCCCAACTATCCTGTTTTCCCGAAAATAAGACCTCCCTGGATAATAAGCCCAATCGGGCTTTTGAACGCATACGCTAAAATAAGCCATCTCCTAAAATATTTAAACGCATGTGCAGCCAGTCTCTGCCATTTCCAGTGGGGGAGAGGGAACATGCCCCATGCGCTCCACATGAAACTGCCATTCACGCAGAATGGCCTTGTGGAGGCTGCTACTGCAAACTCTAGCTACTTAGTGGCTGCCATAAAAGGAATAGCAGGGCTGGCAAGAGTGTGCCAGAGACAGAACTTCCAGCTCTCTCTGGATCAGCTGATCCGCAGGCCAGCTTTAAGGGGCCTCCTGCACCTCAAAAATAAGACCGCCCCGAAAATAAGGCCAAGCGCTTATTTTTGGCGGGGGTGTGTGTGGTGTCAAAAGAAAATAAGACTTTATTTTTTGGGACACATGGTAAACTGTGACTTATTCGATAAAGCAAGCAATCCACAGCTCAATAGGATGTGACCCAGTAAATTAAGTAACGGTGCTTTTGGTACTTGCGTTGTCTGTATGGTTTTAGCACACCGTCCTGGAAATTCAATCAAGGCTGGCTTAGCCCCCCTCCCCCCCAAAAAGTATTTTTTTTTAAGGTATTTTATTAAAATTTATAGGCCGCCCTTTTCCCTGAGGGGACTC